ACACATAGTCAAATGAAAACAACAATGTTCAATTTTAGAATAAATCAAAGTAAATAACTTTGGAATCACACAAGTGATAAAACACATAGTCAAATAAAAACAACGATGTTCAATTGTAGAACAAACCAAAGTAACTTAAATAAAGTTACATGTGAGTAATGTTCTGGTACTTTTCACATTTTTCTTTTCGCAGCCTCTTCCGCCTAGCTTTGTAATTTTGGTTAAGAGCCAACAACATTTCATCAAGAGCTCTTCGAGCAATTGCTCTGAAAATAGAACTTTTCAAATGGCCATGCTCAAAGCACAACTGAAAATACAACAGTTCCGGACGACTTTGAACGCTCTCCATAAAACTTTCCAGAATTTCTGCTGCCTGTATTCTTGATGGTATGAACAAATTTGCCTCTCTGTAAATAACTGCGGTGATTTTGCATATAGATGATGATGGGGCACTCTGATTTGGATTGCAGGATGATGACATGGAGGAAAGCATATGAAGAGGGAATTCTGCAGGACTTTGAAGAATGGTGCTGCAGTCGTCACATTTCCATTTCTCAACAAAGGCAGTCACAATCGGTGCAGCATTCTGTGCCCCGACAGCAGCTCCCAACTTCTCCTGGACACGTCGCACGAAATCTGCATCTGATGTGACAGTCACAGGGGCAGTTTCGTCTTCCTCCTCTTCCTGCTCTTCATATACATCGTCCAGCTCTTCATCTGGCTCTTCTACCTCCATGATGGTGGGGAGAGAAGGGATTGCAAGGTCAGTTTCTTGATTAGGTGTTTCATTACTGCCTTGTTGCTCTGCCAACTTCAGAAGGGTGGTTAAATGGATGAAGGTTTTTGAATGGTCATTTTTTCCTTTTATTTTCACCGCAGTGAGATCCCTGATCAAGCAACTAGCAAAGGATGCAGGGTAGTCCTGGGGGCCGGGATTTTTCCTGGACCCACCTGCAGCTCTTGTTCTACTGTTAAAGTTCTCTATGACGTCGCCATTGATTTTTCCAACTGGAAGGAATTTATAACCAGCTTCCTGGAAATCTCTCCAGAGGAAGGCCAGGCCCAACACGGTGCGGCGCCAATTTTGTGGGAAAGTGAGATTCTGTGACCCAACAAAGTGCCACCCTGCCATCTCATTAAACATGTCATTCCAGACTTGCAGGTGCCGTGATGTGGGAGTCATTGCCACTTTCAGAGACTCTGAATCTTCCACGACCGCAACACCGTTCAAAGAGTCAAAGAAGTTGTTAATCCCCTCACAAAAGCGGCCTGTTGCCATGGCTTCAGGAGGGAAAACACGAAGAAAAGTGTAGGTGACGACACCCAGAGCCACACTTTGGCTGAGAAGCTGCGCTGCTGGAGCCACTCGCATCTTCTCAAAACTATTCATGTTCAGGTGAGAGAGAGTGACTTTTTTGCCCAGCCGTGGCTGCATGGCCATGTCACTCTCAATGAATGTCTTGATGTAGTCGATTGAAACAACTTCTTGTTGACCTTCTGCTGTTGTTAAAATCAAGGGATACTTGAGGATGGCATTTCTGAGGGCTTTCAGGAGGTGAGGCACGTCAAATAATGAGTAAATTTTGTCCTCTTCCAGGAAAAACCATGGCTGGTCATCAGAAGCACCGAGAAGCTCCATGGCCAATTTGTTCTTCGCCAGCGAATCTGTGACCACGGCCCGCACTTTCAGCCCAGTCTCCCGAACTGCTTGAATAGCTTCGAGGAAGAGGCCTTTGAAGTCAGCCCCTGTGAGCTTCAAGTGGGTATACCAGAAGCAAAATGGCTGTTTCCAGTCTCCATATATGCTCTTGATCATGCAGACCATGACTTCCTTTCCAGGCAAGGCTTATCGAACACCGTTCCCGAAATCGACGAAGCCAACTATTTTGTCTTCTGTGGCGTCGTACGTGAAGCGCACTCTCAGCGCCATCTCGTCGAACACCACCACAACCTCCCTGTCTTGTTCTGGCAAGGCCTCTATCCACCGTTTCATCGCCTCCATCAGGATGCGATTCAGGCCGGGACAGAATCGCAGCTTCTTCAGGGTCCGGGAAATGGTGGAACGGCCGGGCTTGATCATGGGTAAGCTACTGTAGCCGCAAGGACCATGCTTGTTGATGCCCAAGAAGACAGATTTGTCGTCGAGGGTGTAGCGGTATGCATGTTTGTTGCGCCCTGCATTGCGCAGGTTGCACTGCAGCATCTTACAAAAACTCGGACTTAATTTTTCCCGAAAGCTTTCCAGTACTCTTTCTTCTTCTGTTGCTTTCATTTCTTTAATTTGCTTGCTTTATGACTCGTTGTCCTTTTGCAGGCGACATGCACGGCGTTTACAGAGCACCAGCGCCTCGTGGAAGGTCTTCACCACAGGGTCATTGCGCTTGGCCAGCGGCACTCTAGGAATCGGCGGTAGCCGCAGCACCTTCCGCTTTCCTCGACGCCGACGAGACGCCCTGGTTGCTCCTCTGGGACCTACAAAGGACAAAAATGACAGGTGAGTGTACCGGCCAAAACGAGAAGGCAAGAAGGCAACCCGTCCGCACGCCTGCAACGTGTTGGGTAGGCCGACCCGCCGAGCATCTGTGTGGAGCCAGCGGCCCGCCCGAAGCGCCTGAACTCCACTTACTGGTAGCGTTTTGGGGTGTCTCGGCAGCAGTTTGAACCTCTTCCTAAACGCCATCTGAAGTTAGGTGTGTGCTGACAGTAGCAGTAGCGTTCCCTTCTGCTTGATGGTCAATGAAAATATCCATATCCATTTCTGAAAGATAAACAGACACACATTGTAGGGACATTACGTTGGTGGGTGAGTGTGGGGTGAGTGGAGGAAAAAAAAGGGGGGGGATTCTAATTTAACAAATTGGATAATAATAAATTGCATGTCTTACCATTTTCAGGAGTATTGCAGTTCAGAACATCAGCATCGAGTGCAGATTCCTCCAGCACAGGATTAGGAGTTGCCAATGAAGCTGATGCATCTGCTGCAACACTAGGCCTGGCTGGTGATATGGTGTAGCTGTGGTCGACAATTTCTGTAAAAATAAACGAAGGACATGAAAAGGTGAGCATAGCCCAAAACGTGCAATCTTTGCAGTGTGAACTTTTTTGTTGACAGTATCGGTTAAATGAGAAGTTTCTTAACACACATGTTAACCCATACAAAATTGGGCAATAGTAATTCAATGTTTTGAAATTTACAAAAATAATTCACACTGTTTAATAATAGTAGTTGTAGTAAACAATTGTTTTTATATGTCAACAAAATTATGGGAACAAAATTATTTTTGCCCAAACATGTACTGCAAATCTTTTATTTATTTGAGGGGGGTTTTAAATTTTTAAATTGATTTTTTGCATATAAGTGGATAACTGTAGTTTTTGGCCTCCTAAGGATGGCCATGGTCAAACTAGGTGGAACTTTCATTTCCTATTAGACGCTGAAGTAAGAAACAACAATAGATTGTAGGTATGGAGGTATCTTTTTGGTCCCCACAAATATTTTTGATAACCGCACCACCTCTAATTTTCCGAAACAAAATCATGAACTTTTTTTCTCAAAATATGAGATAGAAAATCTTTGTTTTACATAGTATATCAAAACCCCTGTGTCAATTTGTAGTCCTTTTGATTCTGATTCAGGAAAATCTTATGGGAGAATTTTAAACCCAAGATTGCTAGAGAAATCATGTGCGCAAACATTTAAGTAAAACAATTAACTTGTCTCTGCGCTTCAGTGTCTGGGACCAAAAAGATACCTCCATACCTACAATCTATTGTTGTTTCTTACTTCAGTGTCTTATAGGAAATGAAAGTTCCACCCAGTTTGACCATGGCCATCTATAGGGGGCCAAAAACTAAATATATCCATTTATAAGCAAAACATCAATTTAAAAACTTTAACCCCCCCCCCTTTATAGAAGTGAAATGGTTCTTGGTAAAAGTGGGCCAAATAATGCACAGTAGTTGCCATGCAAATGAATAATGCATTTTGTACTTACCATCAAAAGGGGCTGCAATCTCCAGGTCCATGGCGCCCGGATTGTCAGGATTGTCAGCATCAATGCCAGAGTCATCCAGATCAGGAATTCCCTCAACAGCAGGATGATTTTGACCTGCACAGAAGATGCATGCATATTGTATGTCTTCCTTTACCTGGTCAAAAAACATTAAATCCTGCTGCAATTTATTGTGCATAAACATGTAAACTTTTGTGCAGTCCAACATTTTTATTAAAATGTGCATAAATAATGGCTGTACAAAACATTCCATGTTCATGCATAATAAAATGCATAAGGGTTGAATGTGAAGTAGCCTCTGACTCAAGGGAATCATATACTCATGCATGTCACATACCTAGCAGTAATGAGGGTTTAGCACTATCACAGAGCCTGTCTCTTCTAGAGCTGAGAAAGCATTTCTCTTCAAAATGGTTCCCACAGATGCGCACATTTTTGAGCTGTTGTGGGGTCATTTGGTACAGCCGAGGAATTTGGAGAATGTCCAACCAATTTTCCCTATTGTAAAGACAGTTAAATTAGAGCTGACAACAACTGTATAAAATGAATAAGTGTATCAGAGAGCAGTGAGCAAAATTTCTACATGCACTATAGTATATCTTGGACTGTAGGTCGATTCAAAGTCCCATGGCACTTACCTGACTTTGAAGAACGACAGGCCCTTGCTGTTTCTTCTTGTATTTGTGCACTTTTCGATGCCACATCCCGAGTGCGACATTTTGTTTTACAAGAATCAAAGAGAAACAATCGGCCCGACAACAGCGGCGGCAGGGATGAACGGTGTGAACCGATCTCATCGGGACGATCGGGACCATGTGCCACAGTGTTATGCAGGTGATCAGGTATTTGACCTGACTTCCCTTCAAAACATTGTGTCACATGACCTGTCACCAGTGGTCCCGGTGGTGCGGCGGGCGCGCGAAATTTCATGTTTGTGTAAGGAATTCTATTAGGATCATTTACTGGTGTGCTGTGTTTGTGCTGCAGACAGTGTGTGACTAAATTGTTCAACTTGTCACAAGTGTCAAAAGGATATTTAGGTGTAAATAAAGATAACAGTACTTTACTACTCATTTTTTTTTTATTTGGTGTGAAACCATTGTACATTGAAATCATATGACATTCCTGACATTTTACAATCACTAAAACAACACAACAAAAATATTCCCACTGAATTATCAAGGTACAGTGGCCAGCAACACCGAGCATTTGAAGGGTGCGCTCGTCTCAGTTGCACCAACTGGCCAACTCTAACTCCACAATTTCAGCAGTATTGTCTTGCAAAAACCCACCTATTTCATTGTTTTAGTGTGTTGTAACTGTTGTAGAGGCTCTTAGTATAAGTGGTGTGATTTAGTGTGACATTCAGTGTGATTTAATAGATGTGAGAGATACCGCACATTTTGTGCTATCATGATGCCCCTACCCGCATCGGTGGGTCCTACGTCACAACAATATCAAAAACAAGAACATTCACGGCCCAGGGCCTTGCATTTTAGTCGGCCCCCCTGACTTTTCCTAAATAACAGGACCATTGTTTGGGTTATTTGTTGGCCTGAATGAAACCAAGAAGATAAATATACTTGAATTTAGTATAAGATTGTAGTATAATTACATACAATTACTTACATCAGTTCCTGAACTAAGTCATCAGCCACCAGGTCAATTGTTACAGGTTCAGGATCAGCCACCAGGCCAATTGTTACAGGTTCAGGATCATCGGGATTTACTTATGGGGATTCCGTCGCTGCTTTATTTTGTGTGCCAGATTTCTTTTTCCTTTACATGAAAAAATATATCTATTGAAAAGAACATAATTCACTTCTTTTAAATTATAATAAACAAGAAATATTTTACCTGGGTGCTTTTTTCTTTGACTTCTGCTCAGCTCCCTGAATTTTTGCTATATATTCATCAGATGTCAATACTGCTGAGTTGCCTTGTATGAGCCTTCTGGCAGCATTTGGCTTGGCAGTGGAACCTATTTTTCTCAGCAGTAGGTCTTCAAATGTTTTACCAAACTGTTAAACAAAATTAAAAGATTAGTCAATGCGTGCTGACACCAATGCAAAACCTCAAGCAAGGCTTAAATAACTTACCCTCCAGTACTTTCAGCGGAAGATTCTGGAACTACCAGGGGTGGATCAATAAGAGAACTGTAAAAATAGCAATTCAAATAAAATTTACAGGGAAAGTTTAGATATAATAGTACAGGGTGGTCCACAGACCCCTTCCTTTATTTTGCTTATACTGTACCGGATGCAGGCGTGCGGACGGGTTGCATACTCGCACGGGGCCCGAAGGCGCCCATGGTGAGCGACAGTAGGCAAGCCCGCCCGCACGCATGCATGCGGTACAGTATAAGCAAAATAAAGGAAGGGGTCTTTGGACCACCCTGTATAATAAGAAAATAGCAAATTAATATTATACCTGGTTGCTTCATTTTCTGTGGAAGATTCACCATTCTTTGCAGCCAGATACTGTTGAAGCTTGATAGGATTAAAACGAGATGTTGGATATTTGTTTCGGTCAAGAGGGTATATTCCACATGCACGAAATCCTGCACATATGTTTAGGGAGCTAAGGCCCCTTTCCCAAACCGAACATACTAGATCAACAAATTCTGATTTTGTTAAACTTCTTTGATTTGAACACTGCTTTGTTCCAGTCGACGCGTCCTAACAACAATGTTCTATCTGCAGCGTGCGGATTACACAAT